TGACGCCGTCCCCTCAGGGTCACCGCTCGTTCCGCTACGCCCTGCAGGAACACCCGCGCCAGGCCCTGGCCGTCATGAACCAGCTGCGGCTCAGCCGGCAGCTCTGCGACGTCACCCTGCGCGTGCGCTACGGCGACGGCCCCCCCACCGACTTCCCAGCTCACAAAGTGGTCCTGGCCTCCTCCAGCCCCGTGTTCAGGGCCATGTTCACGGCGGGGCTGCGGGAGCAGGCGATGGAGGTGGTGCCCATCGAAGGGGTGCACCCGCGGGTGATGGAGCGGCTGCTGGAGTTCGCCTACACGGCGTCCATCTCGGTGGGGGAGCGCTGCGTGCTGCACGTGATGAGCGGGGCCGTCATGTACCAAATCGACAGCGTGGTGCGCGCCTGCTGCGACTTCCTGCTGCAGCAGCTCGACCCCAGCAATGCCATCGGCATCGCCAACTTCGCCGAGCAGATCGGCTGCACCGAGCTGCACCAGCGCGCCAGGGAGTACATCTACATGCACTTTGCTGAGGTGCGGTGGTGAAGGGAGGAGCACGGGGGGGTCCTGGGTGTCCTGGGGGCTGTGGGGGACGTGGGGACTCCGCAGTGCCATTGGCATCGCCAATGTTGCTGAGCTGATGGGCTGCACCGAGCTGTGCTGGCGCGCAGGGAGTGCATCTACGTGCACTGCGCTGAGGTGGGGTGGTGGGGGATACAGGGAAGTTTGGGGGCCAAGGAGGTCCTGGGGGGCCGTGGGGGACAAGGGGACCCCACAGCACCATCGGCATCGCCAGCTTTGCCAAGCAGACCAGGAGCTGCCATTGGGATAGGAGTGATGGCAGCGGGGTGGGGGTTGGTGTCAGGATCGTGGGCGGTGTCACCACGACAGAGTGGTGGGACTGGGACGCGGGTTGGTGGCACCGCATCGAGGTGTGGGGTTGGCGGCACCGTCCCAGAGCTGTTGGGGGTCGGTGTCCCCGTCCCACCAGCAGCGCCATCACCGCCCCCCGCCCCCCACAGGTGTCCAAGCAGGAGGAGTTCTTCAACCTGTCGCACTGCCAGCTGGCCACACTCATCAGCCGCGACGAGCTGAACGTGCGCTGCGAGTCGGAGGTGTTCCACGCCTGCATCAACTGGGTGCAGTACGACTGCGAGCAGCGGCGGCCCTACGTGCAGGCCTTGCTGCGCGCCGTGCGCTGCCACGCGCTGACGCCGCATTTCCTGCAGATGCAGCTGCAGAAGTGCGAGCTGCTGCGCTCCGACGCGCGCTGCAAGGATTACCTGGCGCAGATCTTCCAGGACCTCACCCTGCACAAACCCACCCCCCAGGTGCAGCCCGGCAGGGCCCCCAAAGTGGGGCAGCTCATCTACACAGCCGGCGGTTACTACCGGCAGTCGCTGGGCTACCTGGAGGCCTTCAACCCCCGCGACGGCTCCTGGGTGCGCCTGGCCGACCTGCAGGTGCCGCGCAGCGGGTTGGGGGGCTGCGTGGTGGGGGGGCTCTTCTACGCCGTCGGGGGG